TCGAGCGATTCAAGAGTGTGCGGTCTACAAAGAGAGGCCAGGCTCTGCCTGGCCTCTCTTTTGGGTATCAAACCCCGCCCCCCTCTCCCCCAGACGAATACAATTGTGCCTAGGGCGCAACAGCGGCGCGGCAAGCCCTCCGCGAAACCGCGCACATTTGTCGCCCAGGCCCCCCCTCCCGTTATTACGGTCGAGGAAGCCACAGACGCCAACCTAATGGCGCCGGCAAATGAACCGACGCAACGCGGCGTCGGAGCCGGCACCAAGAAGCGTCGCCGCCGTAGGCGTGGTAAGAAGAGGACCGGGGATGCGCCAGTATTGGCATCGACGCCGGTCCCTTCCCACCGCATCCCGGAGGCGGACAACGCGCCTTCCGCCCCACCCGCATCCACGGTACAAACAAGGGGCCCGCGAGCTGCGCCGCGCCGCCGCCAGGCGGCGCTACCGGCACAAACAGTGCCGACAGCAGCCGCCGTTTCGCAAGCGGTGGACGCGCGAAATGCGCCCCCCGCACCCTCCGTGACGCGACCGGCACGTAGAGTGCCTGCACCCGCGCCCAACACACAAGCACCCGTCAACAGAGCCAGGCAGGCAGAGGGGTATCAAACCCCGCCCCCTCTCCCCCAGACGAATACAATTGTGCCTAGGGCGCAACAGCGGCGCGGCAAGCCCTCCGCGAAACCGCGCACATTTGTCGCCCAGGCCCCCCTCCCGTTATTACGGTCGAGGAAGCCACAGACGCCAACCTAATGGCGCCGGCAAATGAACCGACACAACGCGGCGTCGGAGCCGGCACCAAGAAGCGTCGCCGCCGTAGGCGTGGTAAGAAGAGGACCGGGGATGCGCCAGTATTGGCATCGACGCCGGTCCCTTCCCACCGCATCCCGGAGGCGGACAAAGCGCCTTCCGCCCCACCCGCATCCACGGTACAAACAAGGGGCCCGCGTGCTGCGCCGCGCCGCCGCCAGGCGGCGCTACCGGCACAAACAGTGCCGACAGCAGCCGCCGTTTCGCAAGCGGTGGACGCGCGAAATGCGCCCCCTGCACCCTCCGTGACGCGACCGGCACGTAGAGTGCCTGCGCCCGCGCCCAACACACAAGCGCCCGTCAACAGTGCATTAGATATGTTTATTAGCCTGTTGACGGAGCTGCTGCTCGCGCTCGCAGCCGGCGTGGACATAAAGTCGGCGGCGACAAAAGGATTGGCCAAAATAAACCAATACACGAATGGCCAGTAGCGAGCTACGCATCGTGTATTGGAACCCCGGGGGAGTGAGAGACAAGATCCAGGACCTCCGTCTCCTAGCTCACACCCAGGACGTACACATTATACTCCTGGGTGAAACGAAGCTGACAGAAAAGGAGACGTTGAGGGTGCCTAATTATCACGTGTACAGACGCGACGAAAGGTCACCGGCGGGCAAGGGGTACCGCGGCACAGCGGTACTAGTCCGCCGCGACGTAGTACACGTGGAATTAGAGCGCCCCGAGTTCCGCGTCATGCGCACCATAGGCGTGCGCATCAATGTCGACGGCGCGGAACTGAAGGTCCTGGCAGCGTATCGCCCCCCGGTGCCTGAATTTTGCCCCTCCGATATCCGGAACGTACTGGATGGGAGGAGCCCTACCCTGCTAATGGGCGACCTCAACGCGAAACACACGGCTTGGGGTTCCCGTCTTGTTTCGCGGGTAGGTCGAAGGCTCCTCCAGGATTCCCAAATCCACGGGTACGAGGTGTTGGGCCCTGCACACCCCACCCACGTACCCACGAACCCGAGACACAACCCAGACGTTCTGGATATAGCCCTGGTACAGGCTGTGCCCTGCCCGGTGACATTGGAGGTGCTGTACGACCTCGATACGCAGCACCTCCCTGTCCTAGCCACGCTTGACCTTTCCACCACCACCACCCACGACGAGACCGTCTAGGCGGCGGATGCGCGCAGACCTAGATCATCTGTACCTCGACGGCGACTTATCAATGCCCGAGGGTATAGAGGCCGCCTCCGTCTGCATGACGGAGCGCATCCGCACCGCCATGGCGGCGTCCACCACCACCATAAACGAGACTTCTCGCCGTCGTGAGGAGCTGCCATACCATCTGCGCGAAAAACTGGCGCGAAAGAGAGATCTCCGCCGCCTATGGGCTCGCACCCGCTGCCCGCGGGTCAAGCGTGAGCTCAACTGCCTGGCTGCGGAGCTGTCGGAAGGGATGCGGGACTGGCGTGGCTCCTCCTGGGAGGCCGTCATCTCCCGGGCGGACGAACACGCCACCACCCTGCACGCACTCAACCGACAGCTCACCAACGCACGACCCCCCGTCTGCCCGGTGCTAGACGAGACGGGCCGACGTTGTTACGCAGCTCAGGACCGGGCAGAAATCCTGGCACAGCATCTGGAGGGGCAATTTATGGCCAATCCCGTCGCCGCCGACGCACCACGCACTGTCGTCGAGCACCACGAGCGAGTCGTACGTCGCGTATGCGAGTTCCGTACCGCTCCGTCGCCGGACGTAAACGAGGTGAGCTTCGTTTCGCCCGGCGAGGTAAGGCGGCTCGTCAGCCGCCTGCCGAAGCGCAAAGCGCCCGGAGCGGACGGGATCAGCACCGCAGCGCTCGCACAGCTGCCCCGTAGAGCCCTAGTATGTCTAGTGAGGCTCTACAACGGCATACTCCGGACCGGCCACTTCCCCAACAGCTGGAAGTTGGGTAGAGTCATAGTCCTCCCGAAAGCCGGCAAGGACAAACGTCTGCCGGCAAGCTACCGGCCCATCACTCTGCTCTCGCACGTAGCAAAGTCGTTCGAGCGCCTTCTGCTCCGCCGCTTGAAACCGACCCTGTCGCCTCGCGACGAACAGTTCGGTTTCAGAGGCGGACACTCGACGACTTTGCAGCTGACGCGCGTGCTCCACCACATGGCTGTCGAGCACAACCGCGGCCACTACACGGTCGGCGTATTTCTCGATATAGAGAAGGCGTTCGACCGTGTGTGGCACGACGGTTTGGTGTCGAAATTGCTCGACACCAACACGCCGTCAGCATACGTGCGAGTAGTGGACGCTTTCCTCTCGGGCCGGAGCTTTTACGTTTCGGTCGAGAACTGTGACTCTACCACACGCCCAATCGCCGCCGGAGTCCCGCAGGGCAGCTGCATCTCGCCAGCGCTCTACGCGACGTACACAGACGACATCCCCACCTTGAGGGATGAGCTCCGAGAGGGAGAGAGGGATGTCGTCCTCGCTCTATTTGCCGACGACAGTGCCTTCCTCACGTCGTCTCGCCGAGCCTACGCAGCCGCCCGCAAAATGCAGCGGCTGTTGGACCTGCTCCCCGAGTGGCTGGATAAGTGGCGTACCACCGTTAACGTGGGTAAAACGGTGGCGCTGCTTACCCGCCCCGGGGGCAAATATCCGCCGCCCCTCCTATTGAGAGGCCAGCCCATCCAGTGGGAACGCACAGTGCGTTACCTAGGGGTGGAAATCGACCGGTCGCTGCGTATGACGCCGCAGGTGGACCGGGCCGTTACCCAAGCCAAGGCCGCGCGCGCTATGCTGCGACCGGTCTTGCAATCCAGGCTGCAGCTGCGGACGAAGGTAGGCATTTATAAGACCTACATTCGTTCGCGGCTCACATATGCCGCCCCCGCATGGTACGCACTGTGCTCGGCCTCACAGCGGCGGAGACTGCAGGTCCAACAGAACGCCGCCCTCCGTCTGTGCACAAATGCCGGACGGTACGTCCGTAATGACGTGATCGCCCGAGACCTCAAGGTCCCATCGGTGGAGCAGTTCGTCGTCCGGTTGACGCGCGCGATGTCCTTGCGCGCGGACAGCGGGCGCGAAGCGCACTTACGCGACCTCGCCCCTCTCCACGCGCGCCCACCGGACGCCACTCGCGCGCTCCCGCGCGACCTACTCTCCACCGAGTGATCACGTCATTTACGTGACGTGGCGGCGTTAAGCCGGCTCGGCGAGCGACTTAAACAGTCCTCCCACACGACTCCCTCAGCCGGCTGCTGGGAAGCAGCCGGCTTCCGGCCGGCCGGCAGGCCGGCCGGTAAACGAACGACGCTGGGGTGGCACACCCCAGCAGTACGCCCGGGCAAAGAGCATATGCTCGAGGCCCGCACCCGGCGGTCCGTAAGGACCAGCGGACGACCTCGACTGAAGATTCGAGCAATAACTTTTAAAAATTGAAACACTTCAAAATTAATATACAAAAGAACATTACGCACAAATCTCTAAAATACTACAGTACTACCAAGAATATAAACCGGGAAAAAAAATGACTCACCCTTAACAACGATAACGGCTCTAATCAGTGCACGTGCACGCGTTAAAAGAAAAGGAAGAAATAAAATTAAAGAAAACTAGGGTAGATGTAAATAAACGGTTAACAAAAACACAAAAAGAGAAAATTTTTTACATGTAAAATAAAATACGTGGGCAAATGATTCTATCCCACTTCTGATCTTGGAAATAAGACCAGAAGTGATGTTTTTAAAAAGAAATAATTACGGCTACATAAGGAAATTAAACATCTAAATTTAACTAATACGAATCAAAATGATAACTGCTTACATCGCTTATTTTATACTGCAAAAATAATTAACCACGAAAAGTAATTACAAACAGAAATAATTAACCTCCAATTCAAATCAAACAAAACAACACTATGAACTTAGAAATATTATAACCGATAGCTAAACTAGCAGAGTAACGACCTAACAGTCTAAATCACAAACTGAGAGTGTGTCGGTGCCGAGAAGGCATCGCCTTTTATAGGGTCTCCCCTCCACTCTTAATCTTCTTCCCAACAATATATATATATATATATCAGTACGGTTTGCGCACTCTATAAAGGAACACGTCTTATTCGTTTAAATATAAATTCAGTGAAAGTCAACCTTTTGAACATTTCGTAATAATTATTTATCTGCCTTGATTTTATTCGTTGTGGAAGATCTTATTGTTCTCTCTTTTTATATATTTATATATAATGATGAAGTGTACAGCGTGTAATGCCGAGTTCAATGATGGTGTTCAGTGTGGAGCATGTCGTAAACACTACGATTTTTCGTGTGCCAACATAACTGAGTCAGGCTACAGAAAGCTCGGCTCCGACAGGAGAGCAGCATGGAAATGCCAGTTCTGTAAATCCTCTTCTCCTGCTGTTCAGAAGACTAGTACTGCGGAACCGGTAACGTTGGACTCCATAATGAAAGAACTGCGAATTATGAAAACTCAACTTGCATCATTACCTACACTCGTTGAAGACGTTAAAATAATCAAAAATGAGATAACAGACTTAAGGGCCTGCTGTGAATTTAACAGTACAAAACTGGAAGACTTGGACGCACGTTTGTCAGTGGCCGAGAAAACAATATCAGACTTGGAGCGATTACAGGATTGTAATAGTGCTAACCTAAACTTAATCAACCTACTTAAAAATGAAATGGCGGCTAAGGACCAATGGAGCCGATTGAACAATGTGGAGATCAAAGGGATACCAATTAAAACAGGCGAAAACCTTTTCCGTATAGTCGATTTAATAAGTAACAAAATTAAATACGACCTTCCACGAACTCAGATCAATTACATATCCAGAGTACCGTCTTATAATTCCAAAGATAAATCTATAATTCTAGGATTTACTAACAGATATGTAAAAGAAGACTTTATAGCGGCTGCGAGAGCAATTAAGAGTATTTCAGCGAGTGATCTGGGATTTACCGGCTCACCCCAGCGTGTTTTTATTAACGATCATTTAACTCCGCAATCTAAAACATTACTAACGAAAGCTAAATCAGTGCTAAAAGAGAAAGGTTATAGTTACATATGGGTGAAGTTCTGTAAAATACACGTTCGCCAGAATGACACTTCTCGAATATTTATTGTCAACAATGAAAATGATTTAAACAAGCTTACCTAAACGAAAAACAAAAAGTTTGTAACATAACATATTTGGAATATTTTTCTAAATTCATAGTTAATACTTGCTCTGTAGTAATTCATTTATCTAGTGCTTACTTGCTTAAATGCATAATTCTAAATATAATTAATTTAATGTATAAAATTAAAATGTTTATAACTTCTGCTTTGCTTATCAGTTGCGAGTCTCGCTTTTGTTCTCATGTATTTCACTGCATAACCGGTCTACACTTATTTATTGTAAACATTTATGCAATTATAGCTTCTAATACAATCTTACACTTAGTTGCATGTTGCTTGCTTAGTCAATCACTTACAACATTTAGCGATTACACTATGGATCTCAACACTAATGGAATTGTGCCTGTTGTGCTCACGCTTAAGACTGCTTTGCTTTGGTATGACTGTCCACGGCTGCCACAACTTTTATTTAGCTTGCTCGTTTATATCCAATGGCGGCACGGGTGAAATAAATATTGTTTGAGATTTAAGTGGACTGTATCTAAATAATGACGGGTACGTGGATTGACACGATACACTGTTAGGTTGGTGATTGAGAACTGCTTGTGAGGATGGAACACAAAGAAAGACAGTTCTGGTAAGGAAGGAAAAACAGTACCTTTGAATTGTAGGTTGCAGTGCGGCGGCTATCGGTGTCTCCTGGTCCCAGCGACTTGCTTCACAACAATGGCACAAACACAATGGTCTTAAACACACTAGAGCGATGCGGTGGATTAAAATGTTTAGTAATTATCACGAATTACAAAAAACTTGATCTTAAGCGCGATCAAGGCGGGAATTCAATGTCAACTTCAGCGTTCAATTTAACAGTGACGCGCGAGCGCGATATGTCACTTTCGATACAAGCGAATCTTCTCGCTCGCACTTAAAACAAAGGTATGTGCGGGAATAGGAGAGGATAAAGGAATTAGTGTAGTGCCAATCCTTAGAAAATCAACGTTTCGTACCACGTTAAATTATTTATTTCAACAAACTATTACTAATAATTATTATATAATAATAAACAAAAATTTAATGTTATATGGCGCAACCATCCAAGCTACCCGCATTTTAGGAACATTATTGTTTTTCAAACTAGGTGATGTAGTTATGAGTTTATATTATCCGTATATATTCAATATATTATTATGTCTACACTACTTCATTTCAATTAATCTGATTTCTATGATGTTTATTTATTTTACTGTAAAAATTCGATACGTATAATACAAATGCGCATAACAAAATGACTATTTATTACCAGAACGTACGCGGCCTTAGATCCAAAACTACTACATTCTTTAGAAACATTTATACTCAATTGTACGACATCGTTGTCCTAACGGAGACATGGTTATTAGATGGCATAATGGATAGTGAATTATTTGATGACCGCTATGTTGTATGGCGTCGGGATAGGAATTATACACTGACGGAACAGTCGCGCGGGGGTGGTGTGCTAATTTGCCGATGATATATCGCTACACGCAGAGACCTATTCGCTACGCCTCAACTCTCATTCAATTCTACTGCGGGGGATCTATGGCTCATCTTTATCATTTAAGCAGCAATCAAATAAAATTCCATTACAATTGCATATTTGTGTATTATATTTGTGCAAACAAAACTTGGGTCTTTCTTTTTCACAGCAATTAGCAAACTATTTATTCAAATTAAATGATAATATATTATTAAAACCACACGATAAGTACTTGATCGTCGGCGACTTTAATCTTAGTGGCATTAGCTGGGTATGTGACCATGAAAATGGTAATGCATTCCGACCTACTAATTACAGTAGTCCCGATGAACTGTTACTCATAGATGAACTATATACTCACAACTTATCGCAATTTAATGGTATAACAAATAAATTTGGCCGGACTTTATAGATCTAGTTCTTTCGAATACAGATGTAATGGTATCGGAGTGTGACGAACCATTAGTACCATTAGACCCCCATCATAACGCTCTTCTTGTCTCTATAGATATTGTCGAATAATAAATTCTCAAGCCCGCTACAAGGATCAAGTATCTGTACAAAACAGGCAATTATGACTTCCTACTCCCCTAGATGATATTTTACGTTCTGAATTCTCAAATGTAGCCAAAAATTTTAATGTTGTGCATATTAATGCACAGAGTATTCCAGCTCACTTCCCAGACATGTTAGCATCCTTTGATGTTAATGATATCCAAGCAATACTTGTTTCTGAATCCTGGCTAAAGCCTTGTCTCCCTTCCTCTTGTTATACGCTCCCTGGATTTACACTTATACGAAATGATCGTATTGGTAAGGGTGGTGGTGGTGTTGCTATGTATCTCCGTACACAGATTCCCTACAAAATAATTTCCTCTTCCATTAGTACCAATCCCTCTAATGAAGCAGAATATCTCTTCATTGAGTTAATCCTTTCCCACTGTAAAATTCTTCTAGGCGTTTTCTACAGTCCTTCTCCTACTATAGACTACTTCCCCTCATTGGAAACTCTTCTGGAAAAGATTACACCATCCTACGTGCATACTATAGTCATGGGTGACTTCAACACCTGTCTCCTAAAAAATGACTATCGTGCCAATTGTCTCCGGTCAGTGACTAAGGCTTGTAACCTCACCATTTTATATATATATACGCACTACTTTCCCAGTTGCAAATATACTTGATATATATATATATATATATCATCTCCTATCACGTCGCGAGTCATGGGCAGCACACTGCAGATGCGTTTTCTTTTCACGACCTAATTTTCCTTTCATTTAAAATCCGCCCTCCCAAATACAGACATAAAATTATTATGCAGCGTAATTTTGGCGCTATCGACCTGGATTCCTTGCGTAGAGATACCCTGGCTGCTGATTGGGATTCCGTTTACAATGCGACTTCTGTAGACGAGCAGATTAATTTATTTAATAAAAAAATCACAGAGCTATATGACCTCCATGCTCCTGTTCGACCTGTTCGTGTAAAACACTTGCCTGCGCCTTGGTTAACGAAAGAAATAAAGGATATACAAGCCAAGAAAAACAAGGCTAGGGCAAAGTATAAATCCGATCCTGACAAATACCGTGACCAATATATAAAGGCTAGAAACTACTGTAATAAGGTGTGTAGAGAGGCACAACGTCGCCACATTCATACATCTGTTGAAAATAGTGATCCGGCTAAAGTCTGGAAATTTCTTAAATCTCTAGGGGTTGGTAAAAGTCACAGTTCCAATTCAAATTTTTCCAATATTGATATAGACCACCTTAATAGGCATTTCTGTTCTTCCGCTGTTTTTGACAACAACACTAAAACAAATACTTTAAATCTCCTTTCTACCATACCAACCCTTAATATTCCATGTTTCAATTTTAGTCCAGTTACCGATTGTGATGTTGAGAAGAGCTTACTATCAATACATTCTGATGCTTTAGGTACTGACGGCATTGGTCGTGCTATGGTCCTTCCTATCCTTGATGTGATCCTTCCAACAATGACCTTCATTTTCAATAACTCATTGTCTTCAAGTGTTTCCCTTCTATATGGAAAGATGCTGATATTATTCCTCTTCCAAAAAATGTAAACCTTCTTCCTTTTCTGATTACCGACCTATCTCCATACTTCCTTTCCTTTCAAAAGCCCTTGAAAGAATTGTTCATAATCAACTGAACAAATTCCTTTCCATAAATGACCTCCTAAACCCTTTCCAGTCAGGTTTTCGGGCTGGCCATAGTACGACTACCGCTCTACTTAAAATCACCGACGATATTAGATATGGTATGGAAAATTCGCAAGTGACAGTTTTGGCATTCCTAGATTTGAGTAATGCATTTAACACCGTTGATATCGATGTCCTATTGGCTCGCATGCGTTCAATCAACATATCTCCAACGGTAACTGACTGGTTTCATAATTACCTGTATGGGCGTCGGCAGCGTATACGCGTTGAGAATACCCATTCCTCGTGGTGTCAAACTTCTGCCGGCGTACCTCAGGGTGGCGTCTTATCTCCGCTTCTTTTTGCGTTATTTATTAACTCCATTACTATGCAACTTCATTCCTCCTACCACCTTTACGCAGATGACCTCCAGATCTATTCGCAATCTTCATTAGATGATATTGACATTGCCATAGATACGATTACTGCAGATCTGGAACTCATATCCAACTGGTGCAAAAACTTCGGTTTAACACTGAACGCCTCAAAAACACAGGCCATTATTATTGGTAGTCCACGGTATATTGGTAGAATCAATTGGTGCACCCTACCTCGAATAGTGTTAGATGGTACCTACATTGAATATAGTGATAGTGTTAAATACCTAGGCATTTACTTTGATAGGACATTGTCTTGGTCTGTTCAGATTGCTGAAGTTAGTCGCAAAATTTTTGCTGCCGCGGGATCACTCAGGAGGTTAGGCAACCTTTTGCCGGTCAGCACCAAAATTACGCTTGCGCATACCCTACTCCTTCCTATCCTTGATTACGCTGACATCTGCTATCTGGACCTCACCGAAGACCAATTAAACAAACTTGAGCGTCTTCAAAATTTCTGCATCAGGTTTATATTTGGACTACGCAAATATGACCACGTTTCACATTATCGTTCACAGCTCAAGTGGCTCCCTGTTCGCCTTCGCCGTGACTGGCATATACTCTCTCTTCTTTACTCCATTCTTTTTAATCCTGTTACTCCTAACTATCTTAAAGAAAGATTTTCATTTCTCGGAGAGGCACAAAACCATGGCTTGCGTAGTGCATCAAATCTCCTCCTTAAAACTCCTTCACATAGTTCCTCATTCTACAGTAAATCCTTCTCAGTCCATGCTGTTCGCCTTTGGAATTCTATACCTTACTCCATTCGTAGCGCACAGTCACTACCCATTTTAAGAGCTCGGTTAAATCCCATTACCTCTCCACTTAAATCTCCCTGTATTCCTTCTTGCTATGTGTTTTGTTTCTTTGCATATGACATTGTTGTTTTGTACTTGTATTTATATATTTATATGTGTATG